TTCGCCCGCCTGAGCCGGGGAGCGGCGCAGCCGTGCCCTGTGTTGCCGGGGTTCCTTCTCTCTGTCTGTCTGGTCGGGGGGCGACTTGGCCGCATCCTGCGCCGCAGATACTTTCTTCTTTCGCTGGGTTGTTAGTTCACGTGCCTTAAAGGACACAGCTTTCCATTCGGTATCGCGATTTGGACTTTCGGACAGGGATCCATAGAGCTCACTCTCATATGCACATACTGCTCTAAATACTTACATCCGAATAATTTCTGGAATCCGCGCTGCTCACCATGCGCGGTCCTGTGATAATGGTGCTCCAAGAAGCACTGGGCATAGCTTGGTTTGATCCCGGAGAGGAAGCATGAGAAACGGTTGCCACATCCAAGAAAGGCAGCACGCGGCTCGAGCTTTGTTAGTGCAGCCACGATGCTGCCGCGTCCTGTCGGAAGACAGGCTGAGCGAACGGTTTGGAACTTAATATTCTTTACAGTTCCAAGAACCGCAATTCATCGAAACTACTATGGGCCCCAATACGTGAGGTGCGTCGCAGACCGCTGGCGCCGCTGCCTGTCGGAAGACAGGCTTCGCGAACAATTTGGAACTTAACATTCCTTACATTTCCAAGAGGCGCAATTCGTCGAAACTACTATGAGCCCCAATACGTCAGGCTATGACGCCCCGAGAGCCGCCGTACCCACCACCGGTGGGAGCCTCGCGAAGCATGGATGATGCAAACAAACTTCGTGTTTCTATACACGCCTTCGCGCTGAGGGATGGCATGCCGAAGAGACTGCGGAAGCCTTACCCTCAACAGCAAATCCTTTGAAAGTGTGATTGGTTGTCTCCTTACACAGGAGACAGCGTGCGAGGGGACCGAAGCGGTGGAAGCCTTACCCTCAACAGCACATTTTTTGAAAGTGTGATTGGTTGTCTCCTTGCACAGGCGACAGCGTACGAGTGGAACGAAGCAAAGGAAGCCTTACCCTCAACAGACCATCCTTTGAAATCCTGATTGGTTGTCTCCTTACACTGCAGGAGACAGCGTACGAGGTGAACGAAGCGGCGGAAGCCTTATCCTCAACAGAACATCAGTTGAAAGCGTGCTTGGTTGTCTCCTTATACAGGCAGCGTACGCGTGGAGCGAAGAGGTGGAAGCCTTACCCTCAACAGAACATCCTTTGAAATCTTGATTGATTGTCTCCTTGCGCAGGAGGCAGGGAACGAGGATGACGAAGCCGTGGCAGCCCTACACTCGACAGAACATCCTTTGAAAGCGTGATTGGTTGTCTCCTTACACAGGAGACAACGATCGGCCGGAGCGAGGCCGTCCAAGCCCTATCCTCAACAGAACATCATTGGAAATCGTGATTGATTGTATCCTTACACAGGCGACAGCGTACGGGGAGAACAAAGCTGTGGAAGCCCGACCCTCAACAGACCATCCTTTGAAATCGTGATTGATTGTCTCCTTACACAGGAGACAGAGAACAAGGGGGGCGAAGATGTGGAAGCCCTACACTCAACAGCACCTCCTTTGCAAGCGTGATTGATTGTTTCCTCACACAGGAGACAGCGTACAAGGGGACCGAAGCGGTGGAAGCCTTACCCTCAACAACACATCCTTTGAAAGCGTGATTGCTTGTCTCCTTACACAGGAGACAGCGAACAAGAAGAGCGCAGCTGCGGAAGCCTTACCGCAGCAGACCCTGTAATCACAAGCAAGATCATTGGTTGTCTCCTTGCGCAGGAGACATCGACCGACTGCGACGAAGTGGTCGAAGACTTACTTTCACAGAACCGCTAACCACAAGCAAGGGCACTGAAAACAGAGCTGCGTTGTACAATCATCTGTCAGGAAAAGACGGAAACAAACCGAGAACCTGCCAGAGTCTTACATCGCATCAGCAGCAACTCATACTTTCTCTGTAGTAGTCCCTGCGCTCAGGGATTCTACATCCAACGCCTCCTGCAGGCGGAAGCCCTATCCTCAACAGAACATCCTTTGAAATTGTAATTGGTTGTCTCCTTACGCAGGGGACAGCGAACGAGAGTGGAGAAGCGGTGGACGCCTTACACTCAACAGAACATCCTTTGAAATTGTAATTGGTTGTCTCCTTACGCAGGAGACAGCGAACGAGCGGTGGACGCCTACACTCAACAGAACATCCTTTGGAAGCGTGATTGGTTGTGACCTTATACACAGGAGACATGGAACGAGGATGACGAAGGTGTGGAAGCCTTACCCTCAATAGAACATCTTTCCCAAGCGTGATTGGTTGTTTCCTTACCCAGGAGACGGCGTACGAGTGGAACGAAGCGACCGAAGCTTCACCCTCAGCAGAATATCCTTTGGAATCGCGATTGGTTGTCTCCTTGCGCAGGGGACAGCGAGCCAGGAGAACGAAGCTGTGGAGGCCTTACCCGCAGCATAACCTCCAAGCACAAGCAAGAGCACTGGTTCCTTGTACAGGAGCCAGGGACAGGCGGTGACGAGGCCGTCGAAGCGTTATCCTCAGCAGAAACTCTAAGTGCAAGCAAAAGCATTGTCTCCTTGCACAGGAGCCAGGGACACGCGGTGACGAGGCCGTCGAAGCGTTACCCTCAGAAGAAACTCTAAACACAAGCAGGAGCATCTTTTTCGGCATTTCCCCCAGCCCTGATGCTTCCGTGGCCCGCCACGCCTCGAAAGGCAAGATTGCCGGCCTCCTGCTGACGGTTAACGTCCAAACCCTCTACCCTCAGGACCAGCCGCCAGATGACGCTCCTTCCCCCGATGGATTTGCTGGACGCACTCGCTTCTTGCGGGATCAGCTCCAGGCCGAAGGCATCTGTGTTGCTGCGCACCAAGAAACACGTTCCCGTGCAAGCGACACCCATGTTTCCGCCAGCCATGTAAGGTTTGCCAGCGCCTAAGGCAGCGGACGGCTCCGGCGGGGTTGAGTTGTGGTTTAGCAGGGAACACCCCCTTTTCTTTGATACATGTGGGCGGCCTGTCTACTTCCGCCCGGGCGACTTCTTGGCTGTCCACTGGACGCCCCGTCTTCTTGCGATTCGGTACACACATCTCTCCCTCAGAGTCCTGTTTGTCTGTGTCCATGCCCCGCACAGCGCCAGCCCCGACAGGGATGCATGGTGGAGTGAACTCTTCCAGCTTCTGCGCCGCATCTCCCAGGACGCCTTACTGGTAGTGCTTGGAGAGTACAACCTCCACCTGCACTTCAGCCGAGCAGGACTCATTGGAGACCTTGTTTGGGTCCTAGATCACTTCGCGCTGTGGCTGCCTAGTACCTATAGTACCTACGAGTCCTGCCATCCTGGCGATACCAGCACCTGGCATCCTCCGAACGGGGCCGGGGCAGCCAGACTTGACTACGTTGCCATCCCTTCCTCCTGGCAAGTGCCGAGAGGCGGCAGTGTTGTCAACCCCCGTCTGGACTGGGGGCAAAGCCGCACCGACCATGTTGCTGTTACAGGTCTGGGTCCAAGGGCAGGTTTCAGTAGGGCGCACTGCCAGAAGCTCGCACCGTCGGCTGAATACCGCTGCTATGCGTACCACTGAGGGTCGAGCGACACTCCGCAGCATCTGCGAGAACGTTCCCCTACAGCCATGGGCGATGGATGTCCACCGCCATGCACAGGCTTTGGATCATTACTTCCGCGAAAGTCTTGCATCCGCCTTCCCCACGCAGCGGACCCCTTGCCGCCGTGAGTACTTCTGCGCTGCCACCTGGCAGCTCCGCACACAACGGGAATGGCTCCGAAAGCGTGTCAAAGGCGCGTCCAGAATCCTCTTCCAATGGCACGTGCGTGCGGCTTTTTGTGCTTGGCGGTTCGCACACCCTCTCGGTGTCATGCTTCTCGCCAATTGGGCGTCTGTGTTGAGGGCTTTCCGTGATCTCCCCAAGTTCCTCGATGAGCTGCGCCAGTCAAGCACCATACGGGAGGACCGTCTCCATCACATACGGGACACGGCCCAGGCTGCGGCCACGTCCTCCACACAGTCCATTGTGCAGCGCCTGCGAACCCTCACCGGGGGGCCCAAGAGGAAACAGCGCGATACACCACCGCGACCTGCGGTCCCTTGCCTCGACCGATGCCGAGGCCAAGCAGTGTTGGCTCGACCATTTTTCCTCCATTGAGGCTGGCACACAGTGCACGCCCCAGGAGCTCGTCCGAGCCTGTATGCACTGTATGCGGAGGCAGGCCAACAAATGCCTGCAGGATTATGAGGTTTCCTACCTGGATGCCCCGTCGCTCGGGAACTTGGAGTGGGCCCTCCGGTCCACCTCAACTGACAGGGCCTACGGCCTAGATGGGCTGCCGGGCGAATTGCTGCACTACTGTGCTCCTCTCCCTGCTCGTCCCATCTTTCAGTTGCAGCTCAAGTCGCTGCTCACCCTCTCCGAAAGGACCCCGACACGTTTGCTCCTCGTATAGAGGGATTTTGGTCTCCTCGGTGGTCAGTAAATCCCTGCACATGCTGCTCCGTTCCGGCCTTAGGCAATGTGGTTTCCCCGCTTCAGGTGGGAGGCCTCCCCGGGTTTCCGGTCACCCTGCCGGCCCATGCCACCAGGATGTATCAGTCCGCTTGCATACGCCGCGGACTATGCCACAGCATCCTTTTTCTCGATCTACAAGAAGCTTTTTATCGCATCGTTCGGCCTCTGGTGACGGGCGGCCCTTTCACGGAAGACTCGCTAGCCCATGCCTGCAGGGCGGTTAATCTGCCGAGCGGAGTCTACCACGACATCCAAAGACACCTTCAAAAGCCAGCCTTATCATGGTCAGCAGGTGCCAGCTTGTGGACCACCCGTGCTTTGGAGGAGACTCTGCAAGAGACATGGTTCAGATTCCCTCATGATGAGGGTATTGTCTCTACTGCTATAGGATCCCGTCCAAGGGATTCGTTGTCGGACCTTGTGTTTGGTCTCCTTTTCGCCCAAGTCTTGAGGCATGTTCGTGCTTCCCTTGCTGATTGTGGGTGCATTCCGGAGGTACCTTGGCATGAGGACATGGCAGGTCGCCTCACTCCCCTGCCTGCTGCACCCAGCACCACCCTGGCGGTGCTAGATGCAACCTGGATGGACGACTTGTCATTGATGTTTCAAGCGCCGGACTCTGCAGCTCTGATTCGACGTCTTCGCACCGGTGCGTCGACTCTTCTCGGCACCTGTTTGGAACACGCTCTTCTCCCAAACTTGAGCCGAGGCAAAACGGAGGCCCTCGTCCACCTCAGAGCCAAAGGCGCACGCCAAGCCCGGAAAGAGCTCTTTGTAGAGAATGCAGGGACTCTCCCACTTCAATGTCGGCTCTGGCCAGAGGCCCGCCTCCGGCTAACAGCCACATACATACATCTCGGTGGCGTGCTCCACCATCAAGGCAGCCTCTTGAGGGAGGTGAAGGCACGAGCGGCACACAAGCCTCGACCGCCTTTCATTCGCGCCGCCGCAAAATTTTCGCTTCTCCGAGAGTCGGCAAGGAGGATAAGGCACTCCTTTTTGACAGCCTCGTAGCCACTACACTCTTCTATGGCTCAGGCACGTGGCCCGAGCCCACGCCTGATTGCGTGCAAAAGCTTACTGGCACCCTGCGCAATATGGCTTGTCAGATGCTACGCCCTGCCTACTCGGCGGTTGCCCAAGCGTGGCACCTCGGCGCCACGCAAGCCCTCGCCGGATTGCCCAGCGCCACTACATACCTTCATGTGCACCGGCTCCGCTACCTCCTCTCATGCATTGTGCTCGGGGTTCCTGAAATTTGGGCTTTAGCCCATTGGGAAGGGGTTTGGCTTCAAAGCGCTGCTGCGTCAGTTGAGTGGCTCTGGGAGAAAACCGACCCGGACCGTCACTATCAGCACTGGGAACAAGCCTGGACCGCGTGGCGGGATGAGGCAAAACGGTCGCCAGGCAAGTGGAAGGCGCGGGTGCGCCGTCGCCCAAGAACAATGGCACGCTGCCCGGCTCCGACACCAGGGCTTGTTCCTACGCCAACTACTACGGCAGGTTGGTGCCGTCACCCAGACCGACCTTGTCGAGGACAGCGCAGCCAGCGAATGCTGCGCACCCTGCCGCAAGCACTTCCGCGATTATCGTGCATGGTCGGTCCACGCCTTCTCTACTCACGGCCGCACTGATGAAATGAGGCGGCTTGCGCCTGGTACCCAGTGACCCGCATGCCTTAAGCACTTCACGTCAGCTGTCAAGCTTAGCCGACACCTCGGCTATAGCACTGACTGTCGCAGCCGCCTCCTCACCGAGGGAGTGCGCAATCGGCCCGAGCCCGGTGTAGGCAGCAAGAAGGCCCATGATGATGGGTCCGACCTGATGCCGGTCCTGCAAGCCTCTGGGCCCCGTCCTGCCCCCATAGCTTTTGTTGTGGAGGGAGAAGTTGATCGTCCCTCAGCTGAAGTCCTTGACTGCTTGGCCCATCTGGATCATGACGGTCTGGTTACGCACCTCTCGGAGGGTGCCCTTTGGGAAAGGATCCGTTTGGCGTTTTCCTGCATCTGTTTGCAGTCTGCGCGCCTGCAGCTGACTGGTCAATGCTGGCATGACCTTCCATGCCATCCTTCCCAAGATGCCCCTCCTGCTGTCCTTGCGCGCCTCCGATCAGCTGCACGCTGGATTTGTGGCACTGACATAGTTGCCTGGCTTGTTCCCGACTCTTCTGTCGGTGATGTGTCGGCGGATACCTTCAAGCTGAGTGGACTTTACTTGAACTTGCTCGCCCGCCTTTGGCAATGTGCGGTGGGCTTCGCCGCGTGTATTAGGTCCGGATACGGTTTGGGTCCTAGTTGGTCCTCCCCCGTCGGATCCTGCCTTCACTTTCCCCGAGACACGCAGCGTCCGATACCCACATGGCGACACGCTTAGGGCGCTCGGCGAGGGGCAGACAGCGGACTTCCTTCATACCCTCCAGGCTGGTCTTGCCTTCACCTGTGCCGACGATCGCTCTTCCCCTCCTCCGCCCGCCTGGGCTTCTTGTCCGCGAGTCTTGCGACGGCGTGATGGTCGGGAACTGGTAGGATCTAGTCGCTTGTTTCACATAATTGATTGCAAGCCAAAGGGCCGCGCCACCTAGACCCTTCGCCCGAAACAGCAGAAACAGCAGGGTATATAAGATATATATATATATAGATATATATATGCTAATCCCCCCTGGGCCAACCTCGACCATGTGATTGCTCCTGTCTGTTTTGGTGCCGTTCCGGATTCGAGCCGAAACCCCTGTACATTTCGATTTATTGGGTGTTCATGGACACTATTTACAGTCGCGGCGTGTCTTGTCGGAGTGGTAAAACAAGGTCTAGCTTGCGTGTGTCTGTTCAATGTGCTATTATGTACTGTTTTATGATACATCTGCTTTCTCCTCTTGCATGTTAAACTGATAGCCCATACTGCTGCATGTAAACATCTGCTTGGGTAGGCCCACACAGAACATACCTTATTGATTATCTTCATCTTACCTTAGTCTTATTCTTAGTTTCAGTCTTAATAATAGTGTTAGCATTGGTCCTGACTTAATCGTGTTCTCAGTTCTCATCTTAATATTGCTGTTATTAAGAGTATTAACCTTAGTATTGTTGTAAGTCTTAGCATTAGTATTAGTTTTGTGTCGGCATGAATGTTTGCAGTAGTACCAATGCTGTCGGTATCTGTTCAATATTCCTGTTCGTTTGATTAATGTTACTGTTAGTGTTAATGGTGGTGTCAGTGTCAACGCCAGTTTAATCTGAATATGAGTATCGGTGCTTTAGTTTTAATATATGTCTATAGTAGTGTTCGTGTTAGCATTCGTATCAGTATTAGACTTGGACTTGGCGCTAAAATGGGTCTTAGTATGTGTATCAGTATTAGTACGTGCAGATTTAGTATTTTTGTATTTTAACAAAATCAGTATATTAGTTTATTAGTCTATTTGGACAACTAGTTTTTGAGTATATTAGTATATTACTATATTGGTATATTGTTTTATTGGTATACTAGCATATTAGTTTATTCGTACAATAGTTTTTAGCATTTTAGTATTTTAGTATATTAGTATGTATTCTTAGTGATAGTGACATTAATATGAATATCTAGTAATGTCGTTTATATAGGTATTAGCACTGGTATTGTTGCAAACATTATGTATGTGCGCGTTAGCCGAAGTATTCTGTTGATGTTAGTGTCAGTACTGATATATTCCAGCTAGTAACGCCGGTGTTCGAACTGAGAATAGTTAGTAAGAACATGAGCATTAGTATCCGTAGAAATATTATCAATTATAACTATAGTGGTATTTGTATTAGCATTAGTATGACTACTAGCATTAGTATGTATCTTGGTATTAATATTGTTGAACATTTGAAGGGTAATGTGAATATTAGTGTTCGTAGGAACATTCGTACCCATATTAGTGTTAATATCACCATGCCTTTTAGTATTCGTAAGAATATTAGGAATCATTGTCATGCCAAATGTTAAAAGTAGTATTAGTGCTAGTTGTAAAAATTAGTAGTAGGTACCGGTAGAAGAATTGAAATTACTATGAATAAAATGTTCCTGTTTTCGTAGGAATATGAATCTTAATGTTGCTATTCCTACCAGTTGATACAAATACTGATCTACATACTCAGGCTTATATTAATACGAATACTAACATTAGTATATTAGTACTTTATTATGCACACGCGCAATAGCCTTAGTGCTAGTGTTAGCATGAATATCAATGTTAAAATTTAGTAATGTTAGTATTGAGAGCCGTTAATACGAATATGCATAGTATTATCCGTAGGAGTATTAATGTTTATTCTAATATTGGTTTCAGCAATAATAGTAGCTATTGTATGCATATTAGTATTCGTATTAGTTTTTTCCTTGACATGTACATGATTCTTACTATTCTTGGGAGCATCAGTATTATATATACATACTATAATTATTAACAGTTTCACCATTAGAATCACGACGAGTACTACTACACGTAAGAGTATTGGTTTTCAACGTAATATCAATATTAGTATAAGTATCAGCATTTTTTTAATACGAGTATGAAGATTGATATGAAGATGACTATCTTTGTCGTAAGGATAGACACCTTCGTATTACGTAGCATTTATCACTAGTATGAACTATTAGTATTCATCGGCGCATGAGTGACCAAAGAGCTTGACAAAGAATGAACATGTCATGTGTGCACATGTAGCTTTTATCACGATCTTACGTAAGATGCGCACATCTTTCTGTTTTGGTCCCGTCTTGGGGTTATGCCTCTGATTAATTATATGTACAGAACTAGAAACAGAGAATGTTAAACAAAAGCAATATCCGGATCATCTAGCCAGCATCCTAATATAATGGCAATGAAGCTTGCCCAGATCCGCCAACCTGCGATGTCGCGCCGTCGAGTTCCATAAGTTCCCGAATCGTTCGTTCCTCTAGATTCCTTAATTTCCCGAAAATTAGATTCCCTAAACTTCAGCCCCATGTGTTGGGTTTTAAGGAATTCGCTAAATTCCCTACATCCCAGCCCCATGTGTTGGGTTTACGGATTCCCGGCAATTCCCTAAATTCCTTAAATTCTCTAAATGCTCTAATTTCCCTAAATTCCCTAAATTCTTGAAATTCTTTATTACTTAAATTTCCTGAATTCCCTCCCCATGAATGGGAACACCTGAATCTTACCCACGGGGGGTCAGAATTGGGGGATGGAGAGAATTCAGGGAATTTGACGAATTTAGGGAATTTGGGGAATTCCTTAAACCCAACACATGGGGCTGGGATTCGGGTAGTTTAAGGAATTTAGAGAATTTAGAGAGTTTGGGGAGTTTAGAGAATTTTTGAAATTTGGGGAACTCCTTAAAACCAACACATGGGGCTGGGATTTGGGGAATTTAGGGAAATGCCGAAAACCAGCACCTGGCGCTGGTATTTAGGGAATTTAGGGAATTCGAGGAATGAAGGGTTGGAGATGCGGGGGGGGGGGGGGGGGGGGGCTAACATATATACCTATATATATAGTTGGTGGTTACAGCATGCGCACATACATACATACATACATACACACATACACGACGTACATGATTTTGCTTGTTAGCTTGGCTACTTGCATCCTTACCTAGAGGCTCATACCCTACCCCTTTGCAGGTTACCTAGGATTTCTAAGTCTATATATCAGATCCTAACTACAGGACTAGGTTCCCTAAAAAAGTGGTAGGGTATGAAGCTATACTATAAGTAGTTCCCAAAGGACAGACGACTTGCCCCCATTTTTCCGGCACCTTGAAGAGTCAATGAGAGGGCACACCGGTACGCACGACCCAGCGGAACGGGGGCCGTTGATGTTAGACCTCCGTATTGGAAGGCATACTACTCACTCCTCGATATGCGCAGGTATAATGTTGCACGACATTTGGTTCATGCTCGATCGATTTTTTTGCAACGATACATACCAAGACATGTCTACCTTGTCCATCTATCTGTCTATCTTCCTATCCTATCTACCTGTCTATAATACGTACCTGTACGTGTATTTCGTGTGTGTGGTGCATTAAGTACTCGTACAGATACATGTATTGGTCAGCTCCGGTTTCAGAATCCTCGGCGGCCGTCAGTTACAGCTGTCAGACGATAGGACTTCCCTAATCTGTGTTTTTAGTGTGAGCGCAAATGTGGGATACCAATGTGGGATGCACCTTGCATCGGTCCAAGAATCTCACATGCGATCTTGAGAGTTTGCAGCTGTATATACTAAAGGAAATTATTATTTTGGGTTTAGGGCTTGGGGTTTAGGATAGGTTGAACTACGGAAGAGATGTCCGAATGTAGTTTCTTTCAATCGCCAACCGGTCGCGAGATCTAAGCCTTACTTTGCTCGTCGGCCGCAACAACGAATGCTGCCGGCATCAAGGATTGAACATAGGTTGCTAGTGGCGGCGACTGTATCAACAACAGCTGCAGCATTGATCGTAATTGCTAGCAGTAGAGAGATACTAACCTGTGCTAGTAACCGGTGACTCCTTGGACCACATGAGATTTATAAATGCATGTTGTGCCATTGCGCAATGGGTCGATCAAGAGTTCGGCAAAGACAGAGGGACGAGAAATGAAGTTCTACTGTTCCACTGTCATGTGCTGGTTTTGCTTATATTACTGTAGGTTTTAGGTGGCTCGCCCTTCCCATATCAGCAACATCAACATCATCATCCTGACCATCACAACCATTACCATCATCATCGTCGTCATCACCGTCAGCCATACCATGCTCATCATCAGCAACAACATCCAAACCATGGCTCAGCATGATGAGTCGGAACAGTGATAGCAAACTTGGTTACCACCGTCGTCGTCATCATCATCATCATCACAAAAAACATCATTCTCAGACTGGGAAATCACACAACGCTGAGCCTCACCTCCTTTTTTCCCTCCGGTCGAAAAGATGAACGGCTGATCCCAACATGCACTGCAGCCCTCATTTGTTGCCCCAGAGCAGCCCTCATTTCAAAGGTCGGTCCAACACAGTGTCTAGGGCTTGGTATTTGTGGTTTTGGATTATACGGTTTAGGCAATCCACGGATCCTTTCTTGCCCCATCTGTTTTCTTGCGTCGTGGCCAAAGCCGTCCGGCAATGCTCACAGAAATTTCTGCCAGTTTCCGGCTGCGGCACTGGAAGGTTCAGCTTGCAGTTCTCTCCCGCCTTCTGGAGGGAGCCCGCCCAACGCAATACATTGTTGAATTTTGTGTACAGTAAAAACATGTTCACAGTCAAAGGCTATTAAGGCCGTAAATAACTACCTAGTTAGTTCCAGGTTGAGGTAGCATGCGGCTACTTGCTTTCATCATTACAGAGCCAAGAATGGTGGGTGAAAGCCCTTGCCTATGACAAACCGTAAACCCTCAGGCCTTAAACCCCAATAAACACAGAAACCTAATCCCTAAACGCCCAAATAAACCTTGATCCACATCCTAACCCCCCAACCCCCGAAAGAAACTATACCCTATCTGAAGCGTCAGGACCTGAACGAGTTCTGGGAAACAGCCT